CTTATTCTATAATTTGCCCCACTTACAGTATGCCTACCGAAAAAGCCGCGTATTCCGCGTCCGCCGCGGAATGCCTACCGTGTAATCACTCAAAGTGACACCCGTGTACGGAGCAGATGAATGTCCGTGATCTGCGCCCCGAATAACTCAGTGTACCAAGTTTCAGCCAGTTTCGTAACTTTCTCCTATCTACCGTAAACCTACCGTAACCTTGTCAGATGTCACCGCAGTATAAATTGCAGGTCAAAATCATGATCATCTTCTCGAACAACCCCACCGGCCTTAGCCTTAGCCAACTTTGTGATTTTCTCCTGCCTACCGTAAACCTACCGTAAGCTGGCTATATAACCCCATGGTGAAAAATGAGTACCATGATCAGCGCACTGAATAATTTTCGGGCCAAAATTTTATAAAATTTCAAAATTTTGTAATTTGCTGCGCACCACGATACCCCCATCATGCTTGCTAAAACTACAGCAAAATGTACCTCGGAGCATAGAGCGATAAGTGGAGAAATTTCTCTGACCCCCTTCACTCTAAAGCTGACATCTGGCTGACCCTTTTCACCTGAGGTTGACTAGAATCAAGGCATAACGGCAGAATCAAACAGCTCTTGCAATGACACCTTTTGTTTAGAAAGGAAACGACAGCTGCTCTCCTTCATCAAGACTGCAAGAGATTATCGAATCAACAGCGTTTTTTTGAAAAAAAAACGCATGCTCGAGACCTTCTGCGCACTCAAAATCGCGTTGCTAAAGAAACATAACCAAAAATTAAAAAGATGTCTGATTCTTTGAATAATTCATTGCATCAATGAATGCACATTGTCTCAAAAAAAAGCAACAGAGGAAATTTGAACTAGTTAGTGATGGATGCTTGTTTGCTGACGATAATCGTACCATATCTCTCACTAGGGAGAATAATAACAAATAAAAAAGCAGTTAGAATACTCGCTTTGCAAGCTTTCGAATCATATATAAAACTTCGAAAAGACCTTCTTGGTTTGAAAAGATAATTACCCAGAATTGGCTGATATTGTATTTAGATAAAACTGCTCGTATCTCGCTTCACATAGGAGCAATAAGAAAGAGATGGTCTAGGTCGATTTTTCGTGTTCTTAGCTTACGAATGGTATAAAGCATTAAGGGCTTTTTTGCTTTTCGGCTCTAAAAAGCATTTTATCCGGTGACCCATAAAAGCCAATACATTGGGGGAGCTGGGTGGAGCAAGCTAATAGTAAATATCTCCACCCCATTTTCAAAAACTGGCAAATTTTTTCGCCCAGCAGTCTATATACCACTCGAAAGCTCAGTAAAAGAAGATTCCACGTGACCATCGACTTTTTTCTAGCCCCCTCTACCGAGAGATACACTGCATTTTATCTGTAATCATGTCCATTTTCAGCAGCTGATTTCTGCCAAACGAAGACCTAATCACAGCTGGTTATCTATCCATGTTACAGAGCAAGTCTTCATTAACAAACGTAACCGTCGACCTTTCTCGTAGCATTCATTTGGAGAGAAGAAAGTGAGGACACAAAATCAGTCAATATATGAAGTACATGAAATGCCTCATATCTCGCGGCACAGAAGACCTAGAAAAAAATCGATACCTACTTCGATTCTACATCACCTCAGCTTTCGAATGATATGTAACTTGTTGGGGCATTTTGCTTTCATCACTTACCCCCCCCCCCCTTCACCTTACAAGGATGGAAGTAGCAGAGACCCCCTTCACCTACTGAGGGCCCGGACCCCCTATCGCACCTATGCTCTGAAGTGTCAAGTGTTCACGTAGAATCTTGTTGTCCAAACATATACATCGAACCTTCGAAGGTCTATGACCTTTTGAGAAAACTCAAAGCAACAACAACTCTCGCATATAACGGAATCCCACAAATTTTACTATGTAGATGTGCTCATGGGGATTCGACGTCTTGCCATTCCCCTTCTTTCATATTCAATGCGTCTGTTCTATTCGGAGAAGTACCAAAAGTGTGGAAAAAAGCTTTTGTAATAGCCAAAAAAGAGGCTTTGTGCGAATGGTTAGAAAGAAACAACATCTTTCCCTTAGTCCAACACGGCTTTCTTGCTGGGGGATCCACTACTTTGCTCTCAGACTCAGTCTTTGACTGGATCAGTGCAATGAATCACGGTAAAACGGTGGATATTGTGTTTTTTGATCTTTTCAAATCATTCGACAAAGCCTCCCACACCATTTTACTCTTGAAACTTGAAAATCATGGTGTGCGTGGTCAACTGCTTTCTTGGATAACCTCTTACCTACAAGATCGAGGTATGACTATTCGTGTTTGGGTCTATTTTTCAAGCCGCCTTCCTTGCGATATTGGAGTTCATCAGGGCGAATACTGTTCAGGGCCCGGCACGCGTTGGTTTGGAGCATTTTTGGAAAGGAAGTCCCCCATGACTTCGCGAACAATTACGAAGTCCCTTTTGACGTAAAAATCGGTAGAGAAACCATTGCTTAATCAAAATAACAATAAAAAAGCGAAAAAAGCGCATTTTGAGGTATCTAATATAACAAAAAAGGCAAAAAGAAAACATTTCGAGTTGATTAAAGGCTCTGTCATTGGGTAGGGTACTATTTTAGTGCTCAGAATGTCGAAAACCTTCCAGGTCAACCAAATCTGTGGCCTCAATAATCTGGAGTGTGTTTTTGGCCACATAGTTCAAAGGACACCGCATGTGATTGGGGTGCGATATCTATCAACGCATAGATTTACACTACTTTTGACTCAAAAAAGAGGAGTGAGGTTTGATTCGCTCTCTTCAATATATAATAAATTTTCGACCGTTCTAATCGTCCAAATCAAAACGAGCCAAAACTAATGTGATTTCTCCGATATTTATGCTCCAAACCAACCCAGTTGGTTTGGTATTGGTCTAGAAACCAACAAATTCGGGAACGGATATTAGGACACATAAGTTTCTGAAACTTTTTACATAACATAGTTTGGAGTAATATTGTATACACATAGCCCAAATTCGGAGTCACGTGATTGTTTGTGCGTTGTAAACAAGCCGTTTGTTTGTTTGAGTCTTGCGTTTGAAATGCGCGCGCTTACTAAAGAGCACGTTCAACGTACACCTGACATGTTCGTCGTTTTTTTTATCGGCGCTTCCCCAGCATCTTAAAAAAACGATATCCCCGTTGCTTCTAACTTCGGAAACGAAGTCCAGTTTGACCTCCAAACCATTTGTGCCGGGCCCTGATACTGTTAGCCTCCTTTTTTTCACTTACACTGCAGAACTGCCGTCTTTCTTGAAGACTCACCCTGATATTAAAATTCAAGTCTTTGCAGAGGACATAAAGTTATACTTTTGCTACCAAAACACAAAAAAAATCATAGCACATGAGCCAATTTCTCACTTCATAGAGAAGATGTTGCTTTGGTCAATAGAGGGTGGCCTTCCAATAAATGCTCTTGAACCGAAAGTCATGCATCTGGGAGACTGTCTCTAGCACATACTTACCTGTGCGACGGGATAGCTCTTGAGCATTGTAACGTTACGAGGAATCTTGGCATCCTTGTTGACAATCAACTCAATTTTTCTCTACAATATGAATCAGTCACCAAGTAAGCTCTGACTGTTTTTTTGTTATTCTGAGGAACATTTACAGCAATAATGCAAAACTCTTTTTGCGCTTGTATAAGACCAATGTCTTGCCCATGCTTGAATACGCTTCCCTTGTTCGGGATCCTTTCTAAAAAGTATATCGAAAAGCTAGAAAAAGTCCAAAATGTCCATTTACTAGGATTGTCTTTTACAGATGCTATCCAAACTCTGTCCTCAAGCTTTGCCTGCGTATGGCTTGGGACTATCCGCTTTAGGTCTACGTAGTCTGAAGTACTGAAGAATATGCAATGATTTAGTACTCTGTTTCGCATTACTCGTTTGGAAACTAATAAGACCGAGTAAATTCTGGGTCTTCAGACCTTGCGCAGACCGAACAGGAGGTTTTTCAATGGGATACCGCAAATTAGGGAACAGGATTCGTTCGAATAATGCTTCAACTCTTTTGTGCCGCACAGCAGGGTGGCTTAGTCAGCTCCCGAGTGAGATAACGTCCTGCAAAAATTCTTTAGAATTTCGCAGAGAGTTAGCCATCTTAGATGTTATGCAGACTTTGGGCATAGTTGACTTCTGAACACTAAGATTTACAAGATCTTCGGCGATTGCCCACAAATTTCTCACTTCGAAGACAATTCGTATGTTTGCTGTATTTCTGAGACATTCGAGCAGTCTTCTTCAAAAACTTGAGCATTCAAAAAATTCGTGGACTTTCCTTTCACACGCAGTGTGGTTTTATTTTTTGCATGTGTGGGGATGCGGTTGTCCTCGCACTAGGTGGTCGATGCCCCATCTTATCACTTCGAGCGACCTTTCGCATGCAGATAAGCGATTGATTCTGTCAGCTCTGTATGCTCAGTTTGGATATTGAGCCATACATGCATGTCAAGACAGATTCTAAAAGGTGTTGCCTAATTTCTGGACGAATTTGATGTTTTTGATTGATTTTTCAAATGTCAAAAGCTTCTTTACAGTATATAAATCTTTTCAAGGGCTTTAAAAAGTTCTCTTTGCTTGGGTAGCCATTTGAGGAGATCGAAGACTAGTGAGCCTTCGGCCTTGAGGTCCCCCCTTCTCGCTCGCTCAGGGTTCCTGACGGATTAGTCCGCCTTGGGCTAATTCGGTCAGCCAGGCCCTGGTGATTTATTACATCCCCATGCGTTCGGGTAAGGGAAAAGGATCTCGGTGAAGGCCACCCACTTCTTGGAGATGAAGAGCGACCTGATAATCCAGCAGGGAATGTGATCCAAGCCCGAGTGTTTTGTGTTTTGCAAGCCCGAGTGTTTTGTGTTTTGTGTTTTGTATTCTTTTGTTCTCTATTTTTGACACACTTTCGTGTATTATAAATAAAATAAAATAAAACAAATAGAATAAAAATGAAAAATTTCTTGGCTGTTCATCGATCTCTCATGTTGGATCCCAGTATTGTGCAGTTATGCGCGTTTCTGTCCAGCAAAAGAACGTAAGCCAGTATTCCCGTAAGGTACGCAAGAGCAAATCGCGGAATTTCTGTCTAATTCTCTGCTTTAGCACTCTATCCTGTTTGTTCACTTTTGGTCCACCTTCATCTTAAGAGAAGTTCGGTAAACATCGAACGGCCCAGCGGCCTTCGACTTTTTTTACACGAATAATGGCAACTTTGATACTTGTTTTAGAGGTAGTTTGCATACCCAACGTAAAGGCAGTCAAACCAGCTTCCTTCCAAACAAAAGAGCTACAGATGAGATTGAAATCCTTGATTAGAGTTGTGGATTGTGGCAAATCTTTTATTCTGAAACGTACGCATAATTGTTGCTCCCAACAAGTTCTTTGCATTCCCAAGACTTACACCAAAACCGTGTCCTTTACCACTCCACAGCTGCCTTCCAAGGAAATGTTGCCTTTAGGAAGAATCCGGCAACTGCCGCCCATGGGCAAACTCGTTTGATTCTCAAAAAACATCTCATCAGACGTACGGAAGCTCATATGTGTGATAATATTTGACACCAGAAAGTGGAAGAATAAAAAAGCGTGCTTTAGAATAGATGCTTGTTTAGCAACATTCAAACATTTTTTGATGCTCTTTGCGCTCTACTCAGGAAAGGAGACGATACCTATTGAAACATCGTGAAAAAAAGCTGGCAAATAGACAACTCGTAGAATGCCTGTACAAACAAATGAAACATAGGCTCTCGACTGCATAATTTTTTTTGCGAAACTTTATAGATGTGCAGTATAGGCTTTCTAAAATCCAACTGAAAGGGCTTTATTTCAGCGGAAGGCAAGCAACTGAAGGCATTGCTTTCCTTAGCAAAGCAGTTTGTGGCCACGAACAATGATCGCGTATTTCTGAGTATAATTTGATCCTTTCAAAGTCACTTTTACTCATAATACTCAGCACTGTTCAAGACAACGCAGAAGCTAATAAAAATTCTCTAGCAATTTTTGGTCTTTTGCTACAGTCGCTTGCGTAGTTTGGTATTTGGACACGACACGCAGTTAGATATTGGACAACCTTTTTGTATACAAATCGAAAAAATACCTCATAAATGCACTGCAGAACTGGATCTGGTCCCACATATGGCATAACATACATTGCACTAGAGTAAAAAAAGTTCATTCCTTGACACAACAAATAGCCGCAGAGCTGATACCTGTGCTTATGACAAATATCGTTGGGCTGGACAAGCGAGGAAAGCAGACCGATATTGCGAGATTTACCGGTTCAAGCTAGATTGTTGTTTAGTTGCTTTTCAACATATATGAGAGACAAACTCTCATTGTTCGCTCGGAATGGCTACGATAAGGTAATTTAACATTTGGAATTCTTGCATTGACACAGTTTATCACACAAGGAAGCGGTTATGTAATTTGATAACACTGACTTAGGGATCGGTCAGAGTTTGCCAGTGTTGCAGTTTAAAATTATGGCCGGTTTCAAAGTGCTGCCGACGAATTGTGTTGAAAGTGTTGCCGGCGTTGAAATGTTGAAAGTGGAGTTTATTAGTCTTGCATTTTCGTTCTTCCTCAATCCATCTTGCGAGTTGGTGAGATCGGTTGAGAAAGAAAAAAATGGGACTTAGAAAGCAAGAAGATAGACGCTTTCGCATGCAAAGCATCCTGATCAGGGCAGGCAAAGGTGGCTTAGCAAGCAAGCTGGATATCGTTTTTGGGGAAAAAGCAAAGGGGATATCGTTTTTGCGGAAGAGCATAACGTTGTCTTTCGACCTGCGGCCGGCACGCTGCCGGCATGCCGCTAGCAAATAAACAAAAGGTTTGTTTACAGCGAAGTGAGGATGAAATGACACCAAAATAGGTGTGTAGATGGACAATGGGGAGTTAAAACTAAGTATGAAAAATTATCAAAAAATTATGTGAGCTAAAGGCGTGCTCAACTTTTTTCGGAGTTAGGTGGCTTTCAAGCCACCTGGATAGCTCAGCCACCTGAGGTGGCGAAAGAAAAAGTCATAAATTTTTCCTCCCTCACATAATTTTTCTACTTTCTTTACATACTTTTCATCTACATCCCAAACCCTACAAACTAGTTCCTAAACCGCCTCAAACCCCCTTCTCTCCGCTTAGTTATAGCCCCTTGAAAATTTTGAAAGGCCGCGGAAAGGCTGCTCTAGGCGCGTATTGCTGCACGATGGATACATCATGCCGCCATTCCGGAGAATATGAATATCATCGCGTGTGTTCGATGATTCTTTTTCGTTTTTTTCTACTGTTGCGTTGTTCCGTTCCTTTTCATGTATTTTCTCTTCGAATATCTCGTGGCGGATATCGTGATTTTATTGAAATCAAAGGGGACTTCATTTTTTGCAATTTCGGGACGCCACCTCGTGCCGAGCTCTGGTCTAGGGTCAAAGGGGACTGCGTAAAAATTCGCAAAAGTCAAGGGGGACTTCGTTTTTTGCATTTTCAACTAGCCACCTCGTGCCGAGCCCTGATCCTGATACAGATTGTTTGGAGAGTAGAGGGCTTGTTCAACATAGACATCCTCACGCACAATGCAAGTGTTGCCAAAATTCACTGAATAATGCGTGTCGGGTGTCATATCCGGCACTTCTACGAATAGTAAAAAAAGTTCTGCGTAGCAACCTAAAAAAATTGAGGAAGACCACCCGACATGCATTACTCATCAAATTTCCGCAGCATTCTCAAATTCGTTTTGGAGATTATCTTCAGGCAAGTTTTCTGCTTGCAAAGAAGTTTGCGTGAGGATCTTGCATACGGAAGCGTCTATCTTCTTGTCTTCTAAATTTTCAGTCCATTTATTCTTTCCTCAAACGACCTCGCCAACCTGCAGCATAGGTGCGACAGGAAATTAGCTCCTCATGAAAGGGGTTTCGACTATTTCCGGCCCAGAAAAGTAAAGGGGGTAACTGAGCCTTGAGGTGGATGTTGACGTAAGCGTACATGCCGAGTGGGACTGGGATGTGCAAAGAAAGAAAATAAGCGGTACAGAAGTAATTAATTGAGCAGAGACTTTTTTGATTCAGGATAGCTTTATGTCTCATCAATCGACATACCATTTGAAAGCTCGAAACATGCAAAATAAACGTAGACCATCTCTTTTTCTCCAGCTGTGGTGATCGCATCTGAAGATTTTATCGCTGCGCCATCAGCTGATTTTATGCAGTCAGACGGTGCATTTCTGAAAGGAAGAGGAAGGCTAAAAAAAGGACGGTCTACGTTTACTGGCAAGATTTTACTCCTACAGTTACATAATCAGGCATCTTTATTCATTCTTCACTCAAAAACTTTTTGACAAAAAAAACATTTTTGATTAAAATTTCACGTATCTCTGAGTAGAAGAGGAGCTAGAGAAAAAGGACAGTCTACACCGAATCCCCGTTTCGTGAGCTTTCTATTGGTATACAAAATGTTGAATTCAAAAAAGCTCGTGGTTTTTGGTGGGTTTCCAAAATGAAGTGGAGATATTTATTATCGGCTTGCTGCCGAGCGGAGCCGATATTAAATAGCTCAAGCTCCGCTCCCCCAATGGCTTGGCTTTTATGGATGAGAGCAAGACTCTTTTGAGCAAAACATGAGAATCGACGTAGACCACCTTTTTTTAGCTAGCTTTCCTGTGAAGCGAGATATGGGCAGTTTTATATTGCTACAATATCAACCAAGTCTGGGTAATTATTTCATGCTTCTTGAAACCAAGGTCTTTTCAAAAGTTTTAGATAAAATTCGAAAGCTTGAGAAACGAATAATCTAAATGCTCTTTTACTTGTTACTAGCTGACATGTCCGACTTCGCCCGCACCGTGGGTTTAATTGACTCAACAAGGAGAAAACTTAAACTTATCCGCGCTTCGGCCTTCTTCTGCTATTCTTGTAGCACAGGGCAGATATCTCCTAACCCCATCTCCTTCATCGTGTGATGATGAGTTCTACCGCTATTGTTTGAACAAAAATTGGAAGCGATTTGATAATGAATGATAAGATTTCATTTTTCTTCAAAATCGATAAATCAATAGAAGGAGTGGGAATTTCGCTGCGAATAGCCTACGGGGTGTACCAATGTCAAAACATATGCCTCACCATATCTCTGCAAAAAGACCCTATACCTGACAGAGAACACGATTTTCATAAACAGCGTGTTCTCAAACCTCTATGAGCGGAGTTTCATTCTACCGCAGATCATCAACATTTCGACCAAAACCCACTCGCTCGCAAGTTCAGAGCGTGAAACGAGAAAACCAAATAACCCGAAGTTCTCTAAAAACTTGCTCATAGAGATTATCCGACCGCTGTGTACAAAATTCATATCTGCATAGCAAAATAGCTTCGTATTCTAGGATTACGACGAGTAGAATTTGAGACGGCAAGATTTTTTCGCAATTAATCAGCCCTTCTATCTCCATTGAAAAAACGCCTGTGACTACATTTTAGCGCTCCATAATCTAAAGAATAAATACTATCGAACGGTCCTTGCCGAAGTCTACTAGGTGCAATGCGCGCTGCTTTACATTTTTCCACAGAAAGATTTGAGAATACTGAAATCAGAATAAGGCATGCTGTATATAAAGATTTGTCTTGATGAACTGAGCACAAAGCTCTCCTCGGATTTGTATATTCGTTCCGGAGAAAGTTACGGCGAGTAGTTGAAACGCGTGATTTTCCCAAAATTCACCAACGCTTCTATCTCTTTTGGAAGACAGTCTACAGCGGCTTTTAAACGCACGATAACCTACAAGAGAGTACTATCGAACAGTGCTTATTGGAATCTTTTATGCTACACAGACGCAACATCCTTGCGAAAGGACTTCCAGAAAAAAATTCAAGAAATTGGAAACGGAATATCGAGGGCATGCTGTAAATCAGAAGATTTGCCTTGACGATCTGAACAAAATGCTACTTACAGGTTTAGAATATATTAGGTCGTTCCTAAAGTAATATCGCATTTTTCAAATGAACGCCACATTTTGCGGTACCAAGATTTTCAAGAGTTCTTGGGATCAGTCGATGCAGCATTTCGTCCTCTTTCTAAAGGTTGTAATTTCATTGCATAATATTCAATGAGCTCTCGAAAAATTACCAAAAGCTGCGACTCATGCTTTTTGTCATGGTCAAGTCCGGCTACTTTTGTATAATTTTGTACTGATTCCCCGAAGATGTACAAGTAATAGATAAATAGAACAAACCCTATAGGCCACAAAACAATTTCTTTCTTTTCCTTAGTTTGTTTCTTAGAATTTGTAGAATCAATTTTTTAGTGCTATCAAATTCCATATTTGGTCAACTCAAACCTCACAGAACAACAACCGGCAAGCAACTTGGGTGTCTTTAGACGCAGTTTTTTCTCCTCTTTTTCCCAGTTGTTTTTGGTTTCCGATTCATAAAGTTTGTCGGGAAAAAATCATCATAATTCAGGTTTTCCAGGGCACCCCAGGCTGTACCCGAAATTTCCGAAAGTTGCTAATCTGAGGCGGTAAATGCACATTTGGTTCGTAAAATTAGTGTCAAACCATAATCCACCTTTGTATGTTTCAAAATCCAAAGATTTATTGGTATTTGATGCGTTTGTACCTGAGACAAGCCTGCTAAAATTCAATGATTCCATCAAAAAATCTATACAAAAATTATGACGAGCTGTGGAAAGTAGAAAAAATTGTGCTGTTTCTTGTAGGGATTGCTCTATCCATCCATTACATGGACTCCTTCCGGGAGACTCCTTCCGGGAGTATTACAAAAGATTAGAAAAATTGTGAAACTTGACCTTCCCAAAAGCATGGCTTGGAGATTTTAGTAATTTTTCAAAAGCTCATTTAGTATTCTGCAGTGAAATTATAGCCGTTAGAAAGAGGATGAAATGATGCATCGAATGCTACCAAGATCTCCTAGAAACCTTGCTTCCACGAAATGTAGCGTTCACTTGAAAAAAGCGACATTACTTTCAAAACGACCTAATATTTATTGCGAAGGAAGTTATGGCGTTGCGTATTCTGCGTGATTCCCGTGATTCCGCGGATCCTAGAATGTCGCGAACTTTCAGGAATGCTACGGGCTTTGGCGGAGATCCCGGAATTCCTCGAAGTTCATGGAAATTTTGCACATTCTGTGAGCAATGTTGTAATCTTGAGCAGATTTTAGAGCAAATTCTATCAGACTGACTCTCTACCAACTCCTACAGCATACTTTCT